AATTTAGTTGAAGAATGGTATTTACTTGATTCCCACTAAATCAAGATATGACACAAGGTCGATTAACGTGGGAGACCCGAGTGTTTCCACTCATAGGCCACTGGTCAAAATATTGGTCAGAGCTTGTCCAAGCTGGTCAGAGCCTAGTCAAAGCTGGTCATAACTTGTCCTAACAGGTCCAGGCCGAAGCCAGTCCAAGCTAGTCAAAGCTTGATCGAATCTCAGTCCACCACCAAGAAACGATCCATTACTTGTCAAAACCCCCAGCCAAAAATTTAGTTGAAGAATGGTATTTACTTGATTCCCACTAAATCAAGATATGACACAAGGTCGATTAACGTGGGAGACCCGAGTGTTTCCACTCATAGGCCACTGGTCAAAATATTGGTCAAAGCTTGTCCAAGCTGGTCAGAGCCTAGTCAAAGCTGGTCATAACTTGTCCTAACAGGTCCAGGCCAAGCCAGTCCAAGCTAGTCAAAGCTTGATCGAATCTCAGTCCACCACCAAGAAACGATCCATTACTTGTCAAAACCCCCAGCCAAAAGAATGGTATTTACCAGATTCCCACTAAATCAAGATATGACACAAGGTCGATTAACGGGGAGACCCGAGTGTTTCCACCATAGGCCACTGGTCAAAATATTGGTCAAAGCTTGTCCAAGCTGGTCAGAGCCTAGTCAAAGCTGGTCATAACTTGTCCTAACAGGTCCAGGCCGAAGCCAGTCCAAGCTAGTCAAAGCTTGATCGAATCTCAGTCCACCACCAAGAAACGATCCATTACTTGTCAAAACCCCCAGCCAAAAGAATGGTATTTACTTGATTCCCACTAAATCAAGATATGACACAAGGTCGATTAACGTGGGAGACCCGAGTGTTTCCACTCATAGGCCACTGGTCAAAATATTGGTCATAGCTTGTCCAAGCTGGTCAGAGCCTAGTCAAAGCTGGTCATAACTTGTCCTAACAGGTCCAGGCGAAGCCAGTCCAAGCTAGTCAAAGCTTGATCAATCTCAGTCCACCACCAAGAAACGATCCATTACTTGTCAAAACCCCAGCCAAAAGAATGGTATTTACTTGATTCCCACTAAATCAAGATATGACACAAGGTCGATTAACGTGGGAGACCCGTGTTTTCCACTCATAGGCCACTGGTCAAAATATTGGTCAAAGCTTGTCCAAGCTGGTCAGAGCCTAGTCAAAGCTGGTCATAACTTGTCCTAACAGGTCCAGGCCAAAGCCAGTCCAAGCTAGTCAAAGCTTGATCGAATCTCAGTCCACCACCAAGAAACGATCCATTACTTGTCAAAACCCCAGCCAAAAAGAATGGTATTTACTTGATTCCCACTAAATCAAGATATGACACAAGGTCGATTAACGTGGGAGACCCGAGTGTTTCCACTCATAGGCCACTGGTCAAAATATTGGTCAAAGCTTGTCCAAGCTGGTCAGAGCCTAGTCAAAGCTGGTCATAACTTGTCCTAACAGGTCCAGGCCGAAGCCAGTCCAAGCTAGTCAAAGCTTGATCGAATCTCAGTCCACCACCAAGAAACGATCCATTACTTGTCAAAACCCCCAGCCAAAAGAATGGTATTTACTTGATTCCCACTAAATCAAGATATGACACAAGGTCGATTAACGTGGGAGACCAGTGTTTTTTCCACTCATAGGCCACTGGTCAAAATATTGGTCATAGCTTGTCCAAGCTGGTCAGAGCCTAGTCAAAGCTGGTCATAACTTGTCCTAACAGGTCCAGGCCGAAGCCAGTCCAAGCTAGTCAAAGCTTGATCGAATCTCAGTCTTCCGCCAAGAAACGATCCATTAATTGTCAAAACCCCCAGCCGAAGCCGAGGTGATTATATTTATATACAATAAGTGCTACAACAGAAATGGTCTCACTTTCTTTCATCTTGCTACAGAAAATTATGTAGATAATTAGAAATTATCTTTTCTATCAGCAATTGTTTTAATATGTTTCTGGAAAAGGTTCATGCAGGTTTCAGGCTTCTGACAAGCATCAATGAGAAACTAAAGGATTTGTCAGTGTTAAATCATTTTTCTAGGCAAGGGAGCTAATCCAACAAGTGTCATAACTGTGAATGTGACACACTAAATTTATTTATAAGTAAGTATATATTAGTTTAAAGTTTTAGATATGTGATATAAGGAGTAGGAATTTGTGAAATTATAGAATGTAGAAATGAGCCAGGTTTCATGTGTCTCTATATTCCAGTATGAAAAGATGAGTTAATATTGTTAATTACAAAGTCATTTCCTGTCATAAAAAATAATAGGAATAAGCTGGAAAAAATCCTGTACCTGTGTGAACTCCTTCCGCTCTATCAGTGATATAAATTGAAAGTGATTTACCATCAAAGGCAAGTGAATTAATAATAACTAAGTAGTGTATATGATAGAAATGGTGAGTATGGCTGTAAGCAAAACAAGGGAAGCCCTGGAAATTGGCAATCACCTTCAAAAGACTTAAAAAAATAAACTCTGCTGAGAAAGAAATGCCACTTTTAACTGAATTGTATATATAGTGTATTTTGATAAGAAAGAACAAAAGACTGATTCTGAAATATGATGGCATAGCAACCAGCAAATCTGTAATGAACTGAATTGAGAAGGCAAAGTGTGCAAGATGTTCAGATGTCTGTATGTGTGCATGATGGGATTGCCAGAACACATCAAGCCTCTACCAGCAATCAGTATAGCAATGTAACATCATCTGCCACAGATGCTCTGATCCCAATCACTTTGCAAGAGAGACTGCTTGCATCAATACACACAAACATCATATAAAGAAGTATTATGTTTCTGATATGACAAAGTGGGTTACTTTTCTTCAGAGCACTAGGGTAATGAGATAGTGGAGAGATCTCAATACCAGTCTACTCCCCAAGCAAGGTGCTACCCATAGATGAAGTGTGTATAGATGGAGTCAAGAACTTTGTGAATACTGGTTGTTCTTGATCTCTCATGTGCAAATCAGTTTGCTGCTTTTAAAAAACAAAAAGATTGCATGATAGTCAAAAGGAAAACCATTAAGTGCTATAGAGTCAGGAATTTAAACTTACTGTGAACAATATGAATCTTATTGATGTTGAAGTCTTAATTTTGAACAAAAAGTTGTTGGGGTTTAACCTTTTGCTTACACTCAATGCCAAAGTTGGAAAGAATTAAAATAATTGAATTGGTCAACATGTGCTTTCCCAAAGACAATGTACCTGTATCTATTTCCATTAAGATCAATGAGCCCAATTTCAGTGCAGAATTCAACCAAAACAAAGATCTGGATGTCATCATAGAATTGGATTGGTTAAATATTAGTCTGTGGGACTGAATATCAGAATATTCAACTGCAAATATAGCTAGATAATGACTGACTGCTACTATGCCTTGAGGAATAGCTCTGTTCACTCAAGTGTTTGATTTTGTTTATGGATTTGGTGCAGGAAAACAGAATGCAGGTGTGTCCCCAATAGCTGAACAGATAAAAAGTGAAAATACCCACTAATGTTGCAAATGGGATAATAATAAATCAATAGCTCAGCACACATGGAGAATATGTCAGAGAGTACAGCATGTTCATAGCTGTGACACTAACCAAAACTGAGCCAAAAATCTGACCAATCTCCAATCAAAAGGATGCTGTGCTATTTAAAAAACCTTTGTCCTGTTTTAGGAATACATACACAACAGCAAGTAACCACATTATTGAAAAGTGATAATGTGATCAAACTTGAATCAAATTCATCTGATAAATCCTCTGAAGATAATTAATCTGAAGAAGAGGTAAAAATGCTCTCTTGCAAAGGAACACTAGCAAATCTGTAATCAAAGAAACCAGCCCTGTGCTATCACTTCTATGATCATAAAATTAGGAAGGATTGTGACAATACATTATTTCAGACATCTTGTACCTGCAAATGCAATGCAGCAAGAGTAGGAGTTAGTTTAACTGAATGAGTCAGGATTTTTCTCCTCATGTTCTATACGTGCTTAATAGGACTAGGAGACAGATTTAACAATCATTCCAGATAAGAAAGTTGTTGAATATCTTGTATGTTGAGTAGCAAAGACAGGCATTATCCTGCTTGAACAGCAAATCACCTTCTTGTTGCAGGAATGTTAGCAGAATGGGGTGAACAATATTCTGGATGTACATAGTGCTGTTCAACATTCCCTCCACAAACACCAAAGAAGAGTTGTAAATTATAGCTTGTGTGTTGTGAGTAAATACACTGTAGAAGATGTTATTCCCTCATCACTTGTAAAAGTTTTCCTCTCATCACTGAACCCAACAAATTGCTATTCAGGTGACTTTCTCACAATACCACTGGATAGCATTCTGTCATAAATAGAAGTCTAGTGAGAAAGACACACTCATAATCCTGCTGCAAGAAAATGATTCCCAACAGTTTATGTTGACAATCTTGGGTGCACATTTGCTCTGATCTGGTCATCATGCAGTCTCTCACTGTTGTCCTTGTAATAATCTTGGTAAGTTTCTATATTACATGGTTGTCCAGAGCCTGGTTTGCAGGGATAGGAAGGTTCATTTGACCACTTTGAATTTCTTAGATGAACTATTGTCATTACTATTTTTAAAAATTTTTCTCAATTTTTTTGTTTTTATTACAATGCTCCTCTGATTAATTTTATTCTTTTTCTCTGAAATACTTCTTAGTAATTTTTAATATAAAGTTTGTATGAATCAGTAACTTTGATTTTATGGAGTTTATCTTGTATTCTAAACTATTTATTTTATGATTACATATTCCTCATCCCCTATAATGTGGTTAAATTAAAGATACTTGTTCAAATTTAATGAAACTTTTGTGTAATTTAGTGCAGCTACTTTTTTTCCTCAAATATTAATATCACATATGTTTTGAATCCTTACTACCTATGTCTTACAAATAAAACAAATAGTTTTGCTCTTTTAAGCCTTTTAATAACTCAAAATACTGAATTGTTTTCTTTTTCTCCCTTTGCAGGTAATGATGTTGTCATTGTTAAGAATGGAAGAAGAATATGTGGATCTGGAGGAGCTCTAGCCAATGCTCCAATTGTACAGAATAAAGCTTATTTTGAAATCAAAGTTCAATGTGGGGGTAAGAATTGTCATTGTAAATTATTCTAATTATTGCATATCACAGATGTAATCATAGAATTGACAAATTTGCTTTCATTGCCAGTGTTGGTCAAAATCATAAATAACTGTCACTGAGGAAACAAAGATTAATACATTGAAATGAAAATCCAACCATGCTCACTTAAGAAGTAAATCATTTAGTGTGACACAAGGGTGAAGATTCTATTAAATGATCATAATTTACTAAGCTTGCTTTATTAAGGAACAGTACCAAATGAAGGTGAATATGATCTTACAAGTGGAAGGAGTCTGTCTTAAAAATCATCAAATTAATTTTTTCATTAAACTGCATTAATTGTTTATAGGTGAACATGTATATACCTATCATACACCAAAAACTCCACCTTTAAATTCCATAGTACTTTCTCCTCACTAAATTCTTCTCATTCTCTTTCACTCCCAGTAACCCCCCATTTGTTATAGTGACACTACTGCCTTGCTTATGGTGAAATGATTAAAAAATACATGGATATACAGAACATAAATTATGTGTGACCAGAAAGGCCAATTAATCTTTTGCTTCATTTTGCTTTGTAAACTATATAGGAAGTCTTATTTATATGGTCCAGCAGTATTTGTACATCTTCCTGATGCAGATAGAATATGAAAGTTTAGAGTAACAACTACATAAGCATAATATCAGGTTCTCACACAATGAGAAAAGTTAAAGGCAACAATAAAAAAATTGCCATAGTCTGTCTACCATTCCTAATGAGTATATTTGAAAAATTCAAAGGATCTGTCCATAACAATATCAGGACAGTATTCAAAAGCATTTCAAACTTTTGGAGATATCTCTCCCAAATCAAACCTCCTTTGAAGAAAACAGGGCTAAGAACTGTGAGGATTGCATTCTATGCAGTTGTGGCAAGTAATACAATGGAGAGACCAGCTGTCTACTAAAAGTAAGTGGAAGAATATTGAAAGGCTTTTTTACTAGGGAGAGATATTGAAACCAGGCATAGTTGCTCAAATATGGAGGGAAGAGTAGTCATCAAACCCTGAGGAATTAAGTCAAGATAATAGGGAAAAACACTAGAGGATAAGAAATAATCAGTGTACATGTTAAGCACAGCCAACCTCCTCAGTAGAGTTAGCATAGAGATGAATACCATCTTAGAGCCTCTGAATAAAAAAAGAAAGTATACTCAAAAAATAAATTCTACACATTGAGTTAGGGCACTCATTCAGCTTTGCTTGAGGGCAGATATTAAGTTTAAGTCTCCCAAATGACACATCTGAATTGTTTAAGGGACAAGGCCTAGTGAATTAAAGTATTAGTTAAAACATTTAGTTCCCTGGCAATGCTGAGTACAGTGCCTGGATCTGGTCATGCTGAAAAGTTATATTCTGGTTCAGTAGAAGAAACAGAAAGTAACACAAAGGTGAAGAAGACTGGAAAGTATTAACTCATATGAAATATCCCCTCAGCATGGGAAGTGAAATGAGAATATATTCCCAGATATTGAATAAAAATTGTGATTCAAAATTCTAAGGTTTACTGAGTATGACAACAGATACCTGAAGAAAGCTGGAGGGTCTACCAAAATGTTCTGAATATAAAAACTAAGGTGAGAATTCTAGTCTGAATAGCAATGTATATAATAATGATATTTCCTCATCACAAAATTTTTTTCATAAAATAGTGTATTATGGTTGATTTGTTTACATGTTATTTCATGTTTTCTTTTGCAGGGTCCTGGGGTGTTGGTTTGGCATTAAGAAAAGTAGACTTGAATTCTCTCCCTTTGGGTAAGGAAGCAGATTCATGGGTTCTCAGAAGAGATGGTAAATTATATCATAATGGAGATGTGAAGATCCAAATACCAGAACTAGCTCAAGAAGGAGACATCATTGTGAGTTTTATTTATATATATATATATATATATATATATATATATATATATATATATATATATATATACCTTTTGTGCTTATCAAGAATGACGTCTTAATTTTGGTTGGAAGTAACTTCCTCTACAAGCGGTTAGAGTATGAGTAAATGTATTGTTATAAGTTACTTATAACCAAAGTCAAGATGTAATTCTTTACATGTTTTTTTATTTAATTATTTTTGTCTTAGGTTTATCTTTCATGATAACTTAATGATAATATTCTTTAATTTCCATGTTCAAATTCAACTAATAACTATATATTTAAGTCTTAAATGTATTTTTAAACAAATTAATTTTCTTTATAGGAAGTGTTAGAGCATGTACTTATTATCAATTAAAAAAGAAAGAATTTGTAAAAAAAAAATAGTTTCAAATAAAATTGACCTTTTTTGATGACAAAATGTTAAATTATTTTGGAAGGGCATGAACCCAACCTCACTTTCCTTCTTCCCACTACCACCCATTTTGAACAGTGTGCTGTTATTTGAATGCTATGACTAGGCAGTTAGGTTGAGATTTTTCTGTACTGTTGATACTATGTAATCTAATGTTATCTACCACATTTTGAAGAGAAATTAGGCACCATCAAGTACCTCACTGAAATGGCATGTCAAATAAAATGTAAAGCCTTGACAGCCATTACATGGCATCTCTTCAATTTTTAATGTTATACTTTTTATTAAAGTCATCTTACAAAGACAATCATTACAATTTTCAAAAAGTAAATATGCTTTAAGACTATGAAACAATATATAAATTTGTGAGAAAATAATTTTTTCTTGTACATCATTTTTCCTTATTTTTATGTACTATTTACATTATTTAAAAAAATCAGGTTTGTATCCTTATCTTTGTTGCAATAAGACTATTGAACTTATCAGCACAAATGTGCTAAAAGCAATGAATATGATAATATTACTGTAGTGATACTGGCAAATTAATATGCCTAATTTGCATAAGTGCAAGAGAAAGCCTATATAACTGGTCACTGAGAATAACATAGGACGAAGACAAGCTTAGCAACTGACTAATGCTAACTTCGACTTCACATCAATTACCTTGAACTTTTATTAAATTGAAGCATTGTCAGCCATTATTCATTTGTGATTAGTATTTCTTTCATCTTAATTGTAGTTGCTTTTTATAGCAACTACTCACTCAAACATTCAGTCTGTGGTGATTAGTAAACAATATGAATTCAAAAAAGCTATAGAGAGTCTATGTAAAATGAAAAACAAGTAAAATTTAAATGAAATAAATACTAGACAAAAATTAATAATAGTTGCCAATGCTTCACCTATGAACATTACATTACTGCTGCTAATAATGCTAGTGTATATTAAAAAAATATAATCAAATATTGGGCAAGGAAAAATAAGTTTAAATGGTTAGATTTGGTTTTCTGCTAATGGTTAAATCTTTGGCTCAAGTGGTAGAACAACTGTTATTGAAAAACAGGCTTTTCTAGGCAAAACACCTCCTAGGCAACATAGTCTCATAAAAGCTTTTCAATCTCCTTATTAAAGGTTGTAAACTGACAATCTGAAGTATTGCAAAACAACTAAAATTAAGATGAAAGAAATTTTTCAAAAATTAATATTAGTTGAAGATAAGGAATGAACTAATGAATCTCACTTCAGACAACATTTGCTTTTTATATATATTTATTTTTTCATGTTATGATATTAACCTTCTAAGTGGTTCCTGTTTTAAGAAAAGATTTCCAAAATAATTATTTACAGTTATGCAAATATTTATAAGCAAGTTTGTATTGAAGGATTGTATTTATATTTTTTTTTATTTTATCATTTCAGGGTTTGGCATATGACCATGTAGATCTGAATTTCTTTTTGAATGGCAAACCTACAAACACACCAGTGAGTGGACTTAAAGGTACTTTATACCCAGTGATGTATGGTAAGTAAATTAATGACCTCCTTTCCTTCCTCTTCCTCATGATGGCCAGTATTGAGCTAGCATTTTCATACTTATTGAGCTAACCAGAAGGTAGGACTTCTATGAGGTCTGCCTGGAAAGCATCCAGCTATTAGCAAAAAATAGCATAAATAGGGCAATGATGCCTTAGTTACCTTTTATAGTGTTGTAACCTAGGGAAAGTTACTGAATAAAATAATCACATGAAGGTTGGTAACGAACAATAATACTTAGGACAAGAACAACACATATAAGATTCACCAGTGGCACATATAAGTAGTGTCAACTGCTAGAAGTGAGTCAAGTGAATTCCACAATGAATCTCCAAGTGAAGACCAACATACAGTATTTACTACTGTATTTATATGAATGGGGACATACTCATTATCAGCCATAGGTATTCTACAACATATAGTAATCCTTTTGGAATTTTGCATGCTTATTTCAGTATGCCTTCCACTTTTAAAAAAAAGTTTGACAGTGGCAATCCCACCCCATCCATTGGGATTGAGTAAAGTGGTTGTGCAGCTGGTATTAACAAAACCTGCTGCTATCACACCACTCACTGACACTTCTTTGATTGGAAAAGGTTGGTACTGCACCTTCGTTCTGTTGGCAAGGTAATAACTAGCGCAGAAGCTCCCCCTTGCGTGTTTCCCTGGACCTAAGGGCAATACCTTGCCATATGTCCCAATATTTCACAATTGTAGGACATTAATTTTGATCTCTACCCAGTCTCACCATTCCAGACTCCATATAGCCAAAATAGCATGTGATTCAAAACAAAAATAAAATTAACTTCTCCCAGGATCTTGTCCTTCCTTACTCTTAAATCTCCTCCCTCTCACAACCTTTCTCATGCCAAACTAAAAATCGACGACTCCTATTTTTGGTTGAGATTTATCACTTTTTTTCCTTCCCATAATTTGTCTCTTTCCACAGTATTAAAAAATCACCACCTCTTCTCTCCTCCCCATCACGAGGTAAGCGACATTCCACTTCTTATTCTTCTTTCATTCAAACTACAGTTGCCTTGTCCACAACCTGAAATCCCACCTTCAAGCTTTGAGGAAAGTAAGAAGTCACAGAAAGCAAAATCTTGTCTGCATGTGGTGATGACAGACTTGGATGATATGATTTGTCAAAAAAAAATAAACCTCAAGATATGAAGAACAGACAGTCATGATAAATGCAACATTTACACAGTACACAAGCTCACTCAGTGGCATCTCACTGCAAATTGAATACCTCCATGGAAGTTATTTTACATGCAGAATAAAATTCCCTGTGATTGGTTGCCAAGTTACATCAAGGCCACACACTTCTTTTATATTCAAAATGGTTGGATTATCTTTCATATCATCTCTTGTGTTCAGAGATTTATGAGAAACTGATTATTTTTCAGATTTTTATAGTTCTTTTTCTTTCTATAACCACATATCAGCTGTTCCTTTGTTCTTTTTTCAATCAAAATTAATTACTGGATAATTATGAAGTAGATACTGCAATATAAAGCTTATTAATTTGTTGTTAAATAAAATAAATACTCCTAATTCATTTAAAAGTAATTAATACAATCTGAAAATATGCTTAAAGGTAATCAATATTTGATTAATAAACAAAAAAATATTCATTTTTGTCATCAATTTGTTGACATTACAGTATTAAATAGTTTTTCCAGTGACAGTCAAGAACAAATATTTAAGAAGTTTGGGATATACTTCCTGCTACATGTATTTAGTCAAGGTCAACTTACTGTTTCTTTTACTGCAGCCAGGGCATTACAAAAATATCATAATAATGATCATGTATAAGAGTTTAAGTAATACAGGTACAAAATTACATGGAATAGATGCTTGATTTACAAGGCTGCTTCTCTCATTTTTTTTTTTTACTAATAAAAAAATGCCTGTAATCTGTCTTTACCTTATTTTATTTACCACTTTCAAATAAACTGTAATATTATTTATAGTCTTATTTTACCTAATTCAAAGTGAATATTTACTGCAGATACATTGTTATTCTGTAATTCTGTATCAACTTGATATACAGAACTTATACTAATATTCTGAAATCTGAAAAATTCCAAAAGTCATCTGATCTGATGGGTTTCAGATAAGAGATTGTCTATCTATAAAAGTATAGAAAAGAAGAGTTATTTTTTACAATAAATTTTGTTTTATATAGTTTTTGAAAATAATGATTATTTAAATGTTGAAATTAAGTATTTTCACTTTTAATTTTTAGCCAGCTCGGAATTGAAAATTGGAGTGCCAAGTTCCAATTCCAGTTGGGTTTGTTATATTCCCCGCTCCCCTGCTATCAGTTAATTTGTAAGACTTGTTTCAGTAAGTCATTATTATTTCTAAAAAATCTTACAATATAGAAAATATTTTATGGCTTCAAATAACCTGCAAAAAGTTAATAAGCTGTAAAAAAACAAATCAGTCATCAATCTTGATTTTTAGCTTGTTTCATTTTATTGCCAACCTTTATCACAACATGGTGTATTAAATACCTTCTGATTCTTTTTAGTGCACAACAGAATTGATATTTGTTAAAAATAAATTTATACTCAAAATTTTATAATTAATTCTATGATTAAAAATTACTTCAAATCAATAAATTTTATAATAATTTAATGTAAAGTTGCTTATAAAAATTTAATGACATAACTGAATGTAAATTGTTACAATTTCCATATATTTCAATGTGTTTTTTTTTTTTCAGTTGATGAAGGTGCAGTTTTAGATGTCCAGTTTGGTACATTCTACCACCACCCACCAGATGGTTTTGATAAAATCATGATTGAACAGTCACTGCTTTGAACTATGCCAGACATTCAACTGTGAACAAGAAAAAAGTTTGTATTACATCTAATGGAATGACTGTCCTTACAAAATAAGGTCACAATGAATTATGTCATAACAAAAATGAAACAAAGATATATTTAAATATCTATATATTTCTCACCTGATTTCCAGTCACACTTCCTGTACAACTCATTTCTAATTTTGGGCAACATCTAGTGTTTTTTTTTCTTTTTAAACCAAAATTCAGATTAGAGAGAATAATAATGAAGCCAAGAACAAACTAAGATCTTCATCTTTTTTGTCACAACATTCTAAATCTTTTTATAATTACTTTTGCTTTCTTCAGATGGATATATGCATCTGGCTGCAATATACAGTTTTTTTGAAATTCTTTAGTTTTCATTGAAATTATGTTTTTATTTTTTGATATGATATTTTGCTAAAACACATTAGACTATTTTCAGTTTAATTTGACCTTATTTTTTACTTTTCAATGTTTGCTTCAGATTATCATCCTCATCATTATTGTTTACATCATACTGTTTCTGCTGTGCACTCTGTACCCCCTTTTAGTACACTGGCCAGAAAAATAACTAACAATTATTGAATAATAAAAATACCTTGTTTTAAAAACTGACAGAATTTCTAAGAATGATAAGTCATTATCATTTCAAGAGTTGTTCAAACTATTGAATTTATCCTTTGTGCTGCTTTTGTTACTATACATTGTTTCAACTGATCCATTCTAGAGCCTTCTTCAGGAAAGAGTGAAGTCTCTTTGTGTACAGAAAAAGTTATTTTATCAGTCTCCAGAAAAAGTTACTTTCCATTTGGTAAAAAAATTAGAAATAAAATGAAAAGCCCTCTTTCATTTGTTTACAAATTGTAAACCTGAGAAAGGTTGTAGAATGGATTAGCCAAAATATTTTAGTAACAAGAGCAACACAATAACTTCAGCCATTGGAACTTGGAATGACAATTTCTTATGATGTCATTTTCTTTTTGTAGAGGATTTTGACCTGTAAACATTCTGAAAATTAGCTTAATTTCCAAATCTTTTACAATAATAGTAACAATTTTAAAAAGTTATGTGTATTTTTTGTACATTTTACTAATCATTTTTTTTATAGAAAAACTCTCATTTGGTCATTTGATACATTCTAAAATTAATATACTGAAAAAATTGCATTTTATAAATTCTAGCCAAAACAGATTCACATTATTAAATCTGCTTACAGGTTAGTTACTGTATTTCCCACTATATAACATATGCATAGGAAAAAATCTAATAATATTCAACTGATGATTAATCCATATTTATATATCTTTTTTCTTTTATTTTAATATAATTTTGATCTGTAGTTATAGTTTAATCATTTATAATCATATATATTTAATTCTGGGATCATCAGGGAATGTGCATGTCAAACAGATGGTTGGATATTTATCTTGTACCAGCAACCCTTTTGAGGATTTAAAAAAATAGAAAAGTGTGCCTTGTATCTTGGGAAATATAGTATATCATTTGTTATCCATCTATTGTCAAGAATTGTTCATTGATTGCTCAGTGCAGAATCAACAATCCTACATGAAATATTATTGCTACAAATTAGGGTTGTCAGATTGGTCTACATTTGAAAACCAAGCACTACTAAATTTTGAATTGACATTCTTCTCATTAGTAGCCCAATCATTCCAGCTTATTTTTAAAAATAACTGTAAAAGTAGCAAGTATCAACATTTCAAAAATATGCCAATATAGCAACCATGTTATATATTAGTACACAATATATGTGCTATTTTAAGTCTTTGTCAAAGAGAAAATATAGTTTGCACAAAATTTTATTTGCATGGCCATTCTATTAATGGTCTTTTAAAAGTGTCTAAGATATTGAATAATAATACAAATATCCTTTTTACAATCTAGCAGAAAATAACCCAACCCCAACTATATTTTTTAATTGTTCAAAAGTTCCCAGTTTGTGTTTTTTTTAATCAAAAGGTTGAATGCATATTTGAAAATTAGTTTTTACTGAAAACATTTGCACATCCCTAATACTTTGAACATTCCTTCTTGTTTTAAATATGTAATATTAAAAATTATTTCATTGTTAATTTGCTTAAAAAGAAAGAAAATATTTTTAAAAATTTTCTTTCATTTCCCTTTTCTTAACATAATGATATATACCTACATTTAATGAATGAAGAAATGGGAACTAGAAGAGAGCATGTGTGTGTGTATATATATAATGTACATTTATGCATAAAATATTGGTCTGAAGATCACATTGAAGCATGAAATTAGCAATGCCATTCAGTGTTGATTCGTATGTTCACTCTCTCTCTCATATATATATGCACACATATACTGATTGACTGAAGAAGGCAGTCTCTTCATATATACACATGCATACATCTCTATGTGCATTGACACATATACATATATTTACAAGGTATTTTTTCACATCTTAATAAGGATTTTTTTACCATATGTTTCTAATGAGAAATTTTACAAGTGATATTGTGAATCTTATAATTTTTAATATCAGGAGGCTTTTAGAGTTTGAGAGATTAAAATAGGAATTTTTTAAATGTTCAACTTCATTTCAGCTATTTTCATTTTAGTTTTTTTATCATTTACAAATATCTTTCACCTGCCATTTCTTACTTTATATAACTTTTATATTGTTGAGTTGGAAAACTGATCTCAGCAGGGTAAAGAACTACATCATGAATTAATTTTCTCCCTTATTAAATGTAAAATGTCACCAATCTGGTATTTGGTGTGGAGCATCAGATTGAGGATCATCAGTTTTTTTTTTGTTTTGTTTTTTTTGCTTTGCCAGTTGGTCATATTGGAAAATGGTGTTGAAAAGGTGGAACTTATGTTTTAAATTGTCTCCCTCTTCATATATTGATCAACAATAGCTGCTGCTTGACACAATGATCGTAATTGCTGAATGAAAAGCAAATTATAATTAATATAATTTTATAAAACTGATTCAAACATGCCTTTCAGTACCTATGTGTGCCTGATATAGAGCATTGGTTATTGCTAATGAGTTTGATCTTCACTGTGTACCCCAATGTTCCAGTTTTGTACCAGATTAAATTAAGTTTTGTAAATACCTACATTTTCATTAACCTTTCCTCAAGATAATATAGAATAGTTTCAGTTCTGTGACTTATTAATCATTATAATTTTTAAGTAGTATTTCTTTCATGTTTATTTTAGTTGTTTTTCTTCACAACTATTCAACCTTTTAGCTAATGGCCATCAGTATAAAGTGTGGATTGCCAATAAAGACTAAACTTTTATTGAAACTCAAACTTGCTGTGTCCTTTTGACTTGGGAAGCTAGATTCACCATACTCCCTTCTCTACTGACTGACCTACAAAAGTCCTACAATTGAGGGAAAATCAAATTTAAACGTATGGAGTTATAGTTTATACTTTGTTTGAAGTTCATGCTGTTTATTGATGGCCATAAATTGATTGTCTGAGTAGTTGTGATGAAAAGCAATTAAATTACAATGAAAGAAATACTATTAATGATAGTTGACAGTGCTTCATCTGCTGAAAATCATAATAATATTGTATCCTTATCATTTCAGTTATAACAATAAGGGTTGCTGCAAAGCATAAAAATAAAATTATTTCATGACAATCTGATTGTTTTCATTTGCTCCATGCAAGAAATTTATCAATAAATATTACTAATGTAGCCAATACTGAAATTCAGTTGTTTGTAAATATTGTAAAACACTGACTTATTCTAAGTATTTTTTGTATCTTTGTTTTTATAATCAAAATGTTTCACCTAATGTATCATCCAGCCTCCTGGATACCTGTCATATTTGATAACAAGTTCAGAAAAGGACCAAGACATAACTATAATCAAGTTGAGGACAATATGATGAATAAATCAATGTATAGTAATGATAATTCTTCATTTCCATTCTTAATTTATATTTTTCCAACTACTCTAAACCTTTTTAAGTGATTTTCATGGAATCTTTTACTTTTGTTTTTATTAACAATTAATTTAAAAAGAATTTTAAAGATGTACTTTTATCTGTATGTTCTGTTATTATAACTGGAATTTTTGTTACACTCATTAAAGAATTCTTTGAGTAGGGTGGTAGCATAATTTTCATCTGAATATTATTACTGCATAAATAACAGTGTTGTAATCTCTGACTCGGTACATGAATTAAGGAAACCATAAAACCTCATAAAACATGTACATTTTAAAAATATATTATAAAAATGACAAAAATATAGATATTGGATGGAATAATTTCTCAAATTGTGATTTATATTTTTTGAAAATGTCCCAAAACAACAGGTATATGACTAGAGTCTACAAAAGGGGGAAAATGAGTAATAGAAATATATTGATAATCAGATTAATCGAGAAAAATATATATTAAGATATATTATCTGTTGACAAAAATAATGTACAATCTACATTTTTGAAGAAAGTATTACAAATTAATATTTTTACTTAATTTTTTTTCTAATTTTGATGAACAAGAATTTTGTCTTTACAAAATAAATATTAATCTCAGAATTTATTTTCTCTAATCTTACTAAAATTTCTTTAACACTTGTACAATTTTACATTCTTTTATTCTTTCGTTTTTTTTATTAAAGACTTTTAAAATTGTTAGATATGCAATAATGCTATTTACAGATTTTCCACTTTCTTTATTTCATACTTGTATATTTTATTGACATAACTTATTTGGGTGAACAAACTTGTTGCAAGGTATTTATTGTCTGCAGATATAAATGTGTTGAATCGATTTTTTTGCTGTATGCTTGATCACATATTTTTCTTTATTTTTTCCTGATTTTTTTCTTTCATTTTTTTTTTAATTTGATCATTTTATTTCCTTTTTTTATCTGACCTCTTATTTCAGATGCATTTTAAAGAAAATTTCAGCAAAAAAGTAATGAATTGCTTTAGATTTGTTGAAAGCAAATATAAAAAAATAATAAAATCAACTGAT